ACTACCAAAGGCAAAGTATTTAAATATCCACTTTAGAATGTAAGAAAGGCTCATGTCCTGCTTGCCTGTCTCCCTTCATGACGATGCTGATACCCAGTGGACTCTTCCCTTTCATGGCTATAACCTTGTGATTCTCTTCATTAGTAAGCTGTGACAAAAGTGATGCCATGTGGCTTTAAGGAAAATATATGACAACTGTCACCTTGGTCTGGAGTTCCTGGGACATTTACTTTTGACACCATCATTTTCCAGTTGAGAGCCACATAAAGATTGGTGTCTCCAGTGTACTGATTCGTCCCGGCTCAGCAGATAGGTAACAGTACTAAGTTGCTGGCCAGCTTATAAAAGTACTGTCCAGTCTCAAGTTGAACCATGTCTGCAGATGTTGCAAAACAAGCAGCGTCATTAAGTCTCCAGGTTCTACTGACCACAGTCCATAATCACCAAGGCTTTGAGTCTTTTCACATCTGCTTCTGTTCCTATTGGGTGACTAACTGCCAAGTGCCGTTTTACACGTCACAAGTGCTCACAAGTACAAGCACACGCAAGTGATGATTCCTTCAGGAGCTGAAAAGCTGGCCTACATAGAGAACCAAAAGAAACCCGGGCTCACCTCACAGGCCACGCTCACCACCAGTTGCCCTGCTCAACACTTGCTGGTCAAGCCCTGGGAGAGCTAGCTGTATTCTTTTTTGTTCAGTCTCTGTGTGAGGGAAAGTGTAGAGCTTATCTGAAGTCTGGCTGGAGTAGTCTGAAGCTGGGCCATCTCAGATAGCTTTGAAGTTGTTCTGGATGCTGATTTTGAGGAAACTGCAACAGAGGCGCTCCGAGAGCTGGGTCACTTCATGTGCAGTGTACACAACTCAGCTAAAGATCTTTGTTCTATGTTTGAGCGGGTAAAAGTTATCTGTCAACTTTTAAGTCTGTTAGGACTGTATAACCAAACCTCTATCCATGCCATATGAAAGGATGGCATGTAATAAGTCATGAAGACTAGTCAACAATATTTATCATGTCTCATCCAGTCTCAGAGCTGTTCCCATGTAGAGGGAACAGCTTACACGTCCTGTCTGTCCTGTAGTCTTTTTTTTTTTTTTGGCTTTTTCCCACATCTCTAGACAAGATCCTCAGGAGGTCTCCAATCAAATCTGGTCTCTATTAATTTTGAAGGAATCCGAAGCTTTTTGTTTCCTGTGGAAACAAAATTGTAACCTCTCCCCCAATGCAATACATTTTCTGACTTCCACTCTAAAGTTAAGACATTCCTAAAGTAAATACACTGGTTTAATTCTGTGGTTCCTCAAACCAGTGTCTCTCATAAGTTGTTTTCTGTTCATTAGCATTCAAAAAATTCAGAACAAAACATATAAAGTCCAAACGCCCTGTGTTCCAGGGCTCCCCACCCATACGTATAGAGCTTTACTCTTTCCTGACTTCACTTTATTACCTTTAAACTTTGTCTATGACTGTCTATACCATCTTTTCTATCAGCATCTAAGCACACTTAAGCACACTTATCTACTTAGAGGTTTTCTTCGTCTAGACCCGACTTTTTGCATATTTGCAGCCTTCTCTAAAGTTTAGTGTGAGCTAAACTTTAAACTGCTCAGTGGCAGCTGGGTCCTCTGCCATGTGGCTCTGTTCAACACATGGCCTGGCAGCTGGCTCCATCCCTTCGGGTTGGTGAGAGAGTCTCATGCCTGTGGCCCCTGCTGGGAGCTTGTCTCCTGCCCCAGCTCTGATAGGCACTTCAGCCTGGTCTGCCACCAAGCAGTGTACCACCTGCTGCTCATCAGCCCCACTCACGTGCCTGGTGGCCACCCCTGTCTGTGTAGGCTGCAAGCACCTAGCCTACATGGAACTTTCTTTTCAGCATTTTCAGGCCCTGTGTGGATTTACATGCTGTGCATTGGACACCAAATGTAACAAGCCTTTATCCCATCAGTTCCCAAATAATGACAGACACTTATTATGAGAGCTCAGCCTATAGCTTAGGCTTGTTTCTAACTAGTTCTTATAACTGAAATTAACCAATTTATATTTCTCTACATTCTGCCATTGGCTTGTGGCTGATACCTCTCCTCCTGCTCATCCCGCTTGCTCAGCGAATGTCTTTTAGCATTTCCACCATTCTTCCCAGAGTTTCTCTGTTCCTGGAGGTTCTGCCTGTACATCCTGCCTAGCTATTGACCATTCAGCTATCTATTCCACCAATCATGGCAACACATCTTCACACAGTGTACAAATATTCTGTGACAGTGCGGAACTTTTCCGTCTACTCGTATTCCTGTGACTTAGCCAGTAGATTGTGACATAATGGTCAAGTTGCTCCTATTAGGAGCATATAACAATTACGAACTCCTTTGTAAATTTTGGAGATCAGCCCTCTGTCAGATGTGAGGTTAGTGAATATCTTTTCCCATTCTGTGGGCTGCCTTTTTGTCTTGCTGTGTCCTTTGCCTTACAGAAGCTTCTCAGTTTCAGGAGGTCCCATTTGTTAATTGTCAATCTCAGCGTCTGTGCTACTGGTGTTATGTTCAGGAAGCGGTCTCCTGTACCAACTCGTTGAAGAGTATCTCCCACTTTCTCTTCTAAGAGTTTCAGTGTGGTTGAAATTTTTGATCCATTTGGACTTAAGTTTTGTGCAAGGTGATAGACATGGATCTATCTGCAGTCTTCTGCATGCCAATACCCAGTTATGCCAGCACCATTTGTTAAAGATGCTTTCTTTTTCATTGTATAGTTTTAGCTTCTTTGTCAAAAATAAAGTGTTCATAGGTGTGTGGGTTAAAATCAGGGTTTTCAATTTGGTTCCATTGGTCTACCTGCCTATTTTTGTGCCAATACCAAGCTGTTTTCAGGACTATAGCTCTATAATAGAGCTTGAAGTCAGGGATGGTGATGCCTCCCTCCGGAAGTTCCTTTATTGTATAGGGTTGTTTTGGCTATCCTGGGCCTTTTGCTTTTCCATATGAAGTTGATTATTGTTCTTTCAAGGTCTGTGAAGAATTGTGCTGGAATTTTGATAGGGATTGCATTGAATCTGTAGACTGCTTTTGGCAAGATTGCCATTTTTATTATGTTGATCCTACCAATCCAAGAGCATGGGAGATCTTTCCATTTTCTGGTATCCTCTTTAAAGACTCAAAGTTCGGTACAGGTCTTTCACTTCTTTGGTTAACATTATCCCCAGATATTCGATGCTATTTATGGCCAAGAGACACGAAATTGCTCAACATCCTTAGCCATCAGGGAAATGCAAATCAAAACAACTTTGAGATACCATCTTACTCCTGTCAGAATGGCTAAAATAAAAAACACTGGAGACAACTTATGCTGGAGAGGATGTGGAGAGAGGGGAACACTCCTCCACTGCTGGTGGGAGTTCCAACTCGTACACCCACTTTGGAAATCAGTATGGGGATTCCTCAGGAAAATGGGAATCAATCTACCACAAGACCCATCAATTCCACTCTTAGGCATATATCCAAAAGATGCCAAATCATACAACAAGGACATCTGCTCCACTATGTTTATAGCAGCATTATTTGTAATTGCCAGAACCTGGAAGCAACCTAGATGCCCCTCAACTGAAGAGTGGATAGAGAAAATGTGGTACGTTTACACAATGGAGTATAACTCAGCAGAAAAAAACAATCTTGAAATTCGTAGGTAAATGGATAGCACTGGAAGAAACCATCCTGAGTGAGGTAACCCAGACACAAAAAGACAAACATAGTATGTACTCACTCATATATGGATTTTAGACATGGATCAGGATAGTGTCAGTCTGCACTTCCACTGACAGAGTCTGAGAAACAGGAAAGAACCTAAGCGATATACATGGTACCACAGAGAAGAGGGATGAGGCAAGATCTTCTGAACAGACTGGGAACATGGCGAGGGGTAGTGGGAAGTGGGAGCTGGGAAGAAGAGAGGGGGTGAAGAGGAAAAGAGAGTAGGTCATGGGGGAACAGGAAGGTTGAGTGGGGGTAGAATAGGAGGAAGAGGGAATCATAGGTTATAAGACATATCTGGCACCAGTGAGACCTCTAGTGATCTAAAGGGATGACACCAACTGGCAAGCTAAGCAATGGTAGAGAGACCACCTCAAATGCGCATTCCTGATAATGAACTTGATGTCTATAACCATCCTGGAGCTTTCATCCAGTGACTGATGGAAGCAGAGGCAAACATGCACAGTTAAACACTGAACTGAACCCATGGAACCCAGTGACAGGGAGAGAGGAGCGATGAGCAAATTGGCAAAGAATGGGCTGGCAAAACCAGCAGAGACAGCTGATCCGAACAGGGGAGAGCTCTTGGACCCCAGACCGACAGCTGGGAGGCCAGCATGGGACCCATCCAGACCCCCTGAATGTGAGAGTCAATGAGGAGGCCTGGGCTACCTATAGGGTCCTGAGCAGTGGATCAGTGTTTATCCCTGGCATACAAAAGGACTTTGTGTGTCCATAACACAAAGAGGGATGCTCTCTCAGCCTGGACTCTTAGGGGAGTGCCTGGACCCTGCCCTGAGCGAAATGACAGACTCTGGATATCCCCTATGTGGAAGGAAAGTGGGGATAGGGTGGGAGGCTGGGGGGGGGGGATGGCTGGAGGGGTGAGGGAGGAGGGGAGGGAGAGGAAACGGATTGACATGTGAAGCAAGCCATTTAAAATTAAAGTGATAAAAAAACTTAAAAAATAAAAAAATCAGCTTAAAAAACAACAACAACTAAGAACTCCAAGGGGAAAATGAGGCAACGATGGGTAGAAGGCAGAGAAGGGAAGGGAAGTCCTTTCTGGAGGGGGAAGGATCCCTGGGCAGTTCCTCCCGACGTTCACTTTCCAGCCCAGGACAGGCCTCAGACCCCTCTGTGGGCAACTAAAATCCGGGCAGAATGAAATGACCTCTAGTGCAAAGAACAGAATGAACGGAGGACCAGAGGTTTTAGTCAACTGCAAACCCCACGGCAGGGAAGCAAGTACATCCCTAGCCATGTTTTCCCGGGTTTTGTATTTCAATTAGGCAAACAGCGATGGCTGTGTAACATAGTGCTGTAATTGAAGAGAACAACAATTGAGAAATACATACAATCCAGAGAACTAAGAAAGGCTGGAGCTGAATTCGACTCTGGACTCTTCACGGCTTCTGCCGTAGGATCTACCCGAGCTCCAAGGAGAAAGGACATCACTAACATGTCAGGCACAAGGCATAGTTAGGGCCGGGGGCACAAAGCTGCCTGCCTTCCTCCTCATTTCTCAGAAACACAGCAGCACCACTGTCAGAGTTTACTTCCTCTTGTCCCGTATCTGTGCTGGGGACTGTCGTGTAAAATAAAAGAATTGTCTGTCTGTGGGTGATGGTCCCATAAATATGGAGAGACTTCAAATGTCAGGAAATCTTCAGGCCCAAGTCATTGGTAGGCTAAAAAAAAATTTGGCAGAACAAAATAGCTTGGTTCTCCTGAGTTGGTATAAACACGGAACTGGTGGGTTTCTGTTCACGTATGCTCACCAGGATGAAGAGGAGAACCAGGCCTGGACAGAAGGGCGGGGCACCATGGGCTGAGTCCTTCTCTAGGATTCACTTCCTGAAGAAAGGAGCTGGCAGGCAAAGGGCACCGAGGGGCCCGGGTTTATTCTCGTTAGGGCAGAGTTCTGGGCCTTTTGCATCCTTTTCTATGTAGAAAGACAGCCAGGAGCAGCACTGAGGGGCAGAGCTCTAACCATCAGTCTCACCCCTGAATTCAGACAGGGGAGGGCCGCTTCCCTCCCACGGCCTTTGTTCTGCTCTAAGGCGTTGGGGCTGGGGTGTGAGGGCCGGAGAGAAGGTTGGACCTCTGAGTCCTCACGGCCTCCAGGCTCCGGTCGCCATCTTAGTCAAAGTCCTGGAGCGAAGCCTGTGGAGGAATGGGAAAGGGGAAAGGTTAGAGTGTGGGAGGACAAAGCCTCTCCCACAGTCTCCCGAAGAGTGGCTCTTATAGGGGGACCCTGCCTGGATCGGCGAGATGGTTGAGCCACTAAAGGTGCCTGGGAACCCGAGGGCCATCCTCAGGGCTGTATGTCGGAGGGAGACCAGACTCCTGCAAGCTGTCCTCTGACCTCCTCACGTGTACCCCACAATACATTTTTAAAATTCCGCCGGGCATTGGTGGCGCACGCCTTTAATCCCAGCACTCGGGAGGCAGAGGCAGGCGGATCTCTGTGAGTTCGAGACCAGCCTGGACTACCAAGTGAGTTCCAGGACAGCCTCCAAAGCCACAAAGAAACCCTGTCTCGGGAAAAAAAAAAAAAGTTGGACAACTTGCTTAGAAAGCTCACTGGCCTTTTCCAGACTCAGCACTCACAATGCATTCAGATGGGAGAGCTGGAGGTTCAAATCTCAACTCAAGCTTCCCTCGAGCTTAGCTGTCCCGGGTGGGCTACATGGATGGAGGCAGAAGGCAGCTTGGTTGGCTGTGTGGCTGCTGATGGCCCCTCGGGTGTTTTGGGGGCGGTTTGTGAGTCATGTTACCAAGATAGCTAGGGTTTGATTTTATGGACTTGGGTTTACAGGAAACACCACGCACGCACGCACGCACGCACGCACGCAATCCACCACTTTCTAATCGCATTGTCTTAGTTATTGTCACTTTGGCCTCACTGACCATCTGCCAGTAACAAGCCCAGCATTAGGATCTGCTGGGCTTGTTACTGGGACCGTAAATGCAGAAGACCCTGAGCCACTCTAGCCTAGGAGACAAAGAATTTCAGAGAGACACTGCCCTATGAAAGGGAGGTTCCTGGGCTGGGGAGGTGGCTCAGTGGTTAAGAGCACTAGCTGCTCTCACAGAGGGCTATAGTTCAGTTCCCAGCACCCACATCTGGCTGTAGCTCCAGGGAATCTGATGCCCTCTACTTGCCTCTATGAGCGCTAGCACACATGCTTAGCATGCACACAAACACGTGGACACACACACATGCTTAGGTCAAACTTGTACACACATACACACACACACACACACACGCACGCACGCAGGCACCCACGCACGCACGCGCACCTGACATGGAGCCGCACTGGCCTAGGCCTGGACTTGGGGGAAGGAGGTACACACACAACCGGTCCAAGCTACATGAATCGCCACTCACTGGTGTACAGAGAAAGAAGCCAGGGTGATCCGGCCTGTCTACGGCCTCTAATACTGTAGTCTGTGTTCACACAGGTCCGGAAACCTCCACAGTACCTCAGTCCAGCCAAAGACCCCATGCTTCCCCTGTGGATACTGTGGCCCGCTCGCGGGGGCTTCCTGGATCTGCGCAGGCGAGCTCGGGGGCTTGGGGACCAGTTGAACCCCATGCAGGTCAGGATTTTCTGAGCTCCAGGCCTGCCCCTCTGTGCCCTGGATGCTCTTGCTCATCAGCCCGGGCCCCGCAGTTGAGCGAGAAGTTGGATTCCTCTTTACCCCACGAAGTTCCATGTTGGGTGGAGACCACTGGGGCAGGACTCTTGGGTGGGCAGCGTGTGTCTCCACTGCGCCTGCTTCTTGGCTCCCACCTTTTGGCCTCTGTGGTTCTGGTTGATCCAGCCAAGGCACACGCATGGCCTTCCTCTGGGTTCCACGAATTCCTAGTGGCCCCAACCTAGCCAGCTCCCAGTGTCTCTGGATTGGTCCTAACAGTTCCTAACCTGTCTCTAACAGTCACCTGACATCCCCCAATAGCCCCAACGGTCACCGGTCACCGTTTCTGTCAGCCCCCAGCCCGATCAAAATACCCTCCAGCTTGTCCCCAGTGGCCGGAAGTCAGTTCCTAGCCACACCCCTCGGTTCCCAACGGTCACCAGCTTGTGTCCAATAGCCCAGCCTGACTCCAATTGCCCCTAGTTAATACAGATGGCTCCCAGTCAACTCCAACAACCTCTACCCTGTCCCTAGTGTCCCCAGTAAATGCAACATTTCCCAATCAGTCCATAGAGGCCCCGTTGACTTCAAGGATCCCTGGGCTTCTCTCCTGAATACCACCCCCCCCACACGGTGCCAGCTAGGCCTTAACCTGTGGGGATAGTTTGGCACTTAGGCCCAGAAGCCTTTCGGGGAATCTAGGAAAGGATCTGGAGCTGAGCTGAGGCGCTGACCTACAGTTGGAAGGAAAGGAGAGGCGGAAGCCACCGGGGAGGAGGCCAGCAGATGTGTGACTGCAGGAAACGCTGACTCTTGTGGGGACGGAGGAAAGACCAGACGAGAAGAGGGCAGGAGGGTTCAAGGTGTGGCTACATGACCCAGGGAGGAGGGAGGGTGGGCTGCACTAGGGGTGCCTCCTGTAAAGGCTCTGAGCCTGGGATCACCACTCACACCTTGAGCTTAGTCTCCCGAGTTACAGTTGGTGCCTGACCAGTGACTGATGACATTCGTGACATCTAGTCTCCTGCTCCTCTGGATACCCACTTTGTGTGACCTCCTGTCATTAGGTGATCGGAGGTGGCTCAGGTCCCCAGGTCAACAGTCATTGATCGGCAAAGACACAAATGCCACAAGCCTAGAGATGACCTTTGGAGCCAGGCCAAAGGATAGAACTCTTTCTGCATATGCCAATTAGTTGCACAAAACAACGAGTGACATTTTAATTTTTTTCAATTATATATAATAATTTAACATTTTTGTTTTATGTGTGTGAGTGTTTTGCCTCCATGTATTTATGTGCACCATATGCATGCCTGATGCCAGTGGAGGCTGGAGAGGGCATTGGTGTCCTGGATTTGGGGTTATAGAACCATTGTGGGCCTCTGTGTGGGCTCTGGGAACCAAACCTTTGTCCTCTGTAAAACAAACAGCCAGTGCTCTTAACCACTGAGCCATCTCTCCAGCCATATATACACAATATATGCATATTTATACATATATAAATATATACATACATAATTTTTTAAAATTCCAAATTATTATTATTCAGATAGGGTCTCATACTGTAGCCCACACTGCCCTGAAACTCACTATACAGACCACGCTGGTCTGAAATTTACTGTGTTGTTTTAACTTCGGCACAGAGACTGCACCTCAATCTACTGCTGTTTTTAGCCAGCAATTCCAACTCTGCAGTTACTGGTCTGCATCTCTAGCAGCTGCTTGGCTGGAATCCTCTTCCTCCAGGCAACTGCTCTGTTGCTGCCACTAAAGGTGGCTTTAACTAAATCTCTATCATTCTATTTACAAATAAGACTCGAGATTCAAAGCTGGGGTGAAAACCTGCTAGCTCAGAGAGGCTGGGCTGCAGTTAGCTAACCTTCTTTCCTTGCTGGCATCTCTGAGAAGACCCAAAGCCTCGCCACCCCATAACCACCCTACTACTTCCTGTGTCTCTCTCAGATGCCCTCATTTAATTAAAACAAAGGCAGACTCGGGCTCTCAGTGTGGTCGAGCATCCCCAACATTATACTATATAGCGAGAACCGGACTTGAGTGTGCAGACAGACCTCTTTTCTTGTCTCAGTCTACTGAGCACTGGGGTTGAGTTGTCCCACCACACCTCATCATTTCCCTCTTTCTCTTTAATTCAACTGCATGGCAGATTTTTTTGGGGGGGGAATGGGGGTTAATATGTGTGGCATTTCTTTACCACTTATTTTAAAAAGTATATGCTTTTCTTTCTTTCTTTCTTTTTTTAAAAGGGCTCTCACTATGTAGCCCTGGCTGGCCCAGAACTCACTTCACACTGTAGACCAGGCTGACCTTGAGCTCACAGAGCTCCACCCGCCTCTGCCTCCCCAGTGCTGAGTGCTGAGATTAGAGGTGTGTGCCACCACACCTGGCTTAAAGGTGTGTGAACTGACTGTGAGTTTGTGTGTGCACAGGGCAGAGGACAACCTCAGGTGTCGTTACTCTGATGCCTTCCACTTTTTTGTTTGACAGTCTCTAGGTCAGTGCTTCTTAACTTGTGGGTGGCAACCCCTTCTGGGACCAGACAACCCTTTCACAGGTGTCACCTAAGACCATTGGAAAACACAGGTATTTACATCATGATTCATAACAGTAACAAAATTACAGTTATGAGGTGGAAATGAAGATAATCTTCTGGTTGGGGGTCAGCACAACACGAGGAACTGTATTAAGGGTCTCGGTGTTAGGAAGGTTGAGAACCACGGCTCTAGGTGGTCTAGATTTCTCCAAAGAGGTTAGCTAGAATGACAGTCTCTAGGGATCTTCCTGCCTCTGCCTCCCCAGGGCTAGGATTAAAAGTGTGGACCACCATGATGTCTAGATTTTTTTTTTTTGATCTGTGTAGCTCTGGCTGTCCTGGAACTGGCTCTACAGAGCAGGCTGGCTTTGAACTCAGAGATCTGCCTGCCTTTGCTTCATGGGTGCAGAGATTAAAGGTGTGTGCACCATGTCCGGCTGGATATTTTTAAAAGGCCAGCAGAGGGCATTGGACATTCTGCAGCTACAGGGCCTGGGTTGGGTTTCCAGCATCTATGTCTGGCTGCTCACACCCATCTGAAACTCCAGCTTCTGGTGATCTAATATGCCTACCTCTGGCCTCCTCAGGTACCTGCACACACTTGGTGCACATGAACCCACACAAGCAGAGTGTTCATATATAAAAATAAATAAAATTAACAATGAAGAGATCTTCATAGCAAATGGGAAACCCACATGAACAGATGTGAGTACTCTCTCTCTCTCTCTCTCTCTTTCTCTCTTCATTAAAAGTAAGTTCAGGCCAGGTGTTGGTGGCGCACGTCTTTAATCCCAGCACTCGGGAGGCAGAGGCAGGTGGATCTCTGTGAGTTTGAGGCCAGCCTGGTCTACAGAGCGAGTTCCAGGACAGCCTCCAAAGCAATACAGAGAAACCCTGTCTCGAAAAACCAAAAAATAAAAATAAAATAAAAGTAAGGTCAAACCTATTTGGAGGGTGACGTTAGTCTCCAGGTGGAGGGGGCTGATACCCCACGCTGCTTTCCACTGCTCCTAAGGGCAAGTGGGAGCTATGCACCATTTAAAGAGTCAGTCAGCCAGGCTGGAGACCTTGACCAGAAGGACATCAGTCAGCACAGGAAATATGAAAGCACCAGTGAAAGGGTCCAGTCTGAATAACAAGGTCAAGAGGGCGTTTGTATCCTGGACAGCAGGTTCCATTGTGAGAAACTGCATATTTTCTGCATTGCTCTTGGAGGGAGAGGGAGGTTCCTTAAGACCCAGGAAGCAAACACACAACTCTCAGGAGGTTCCTAAAACTTACAAGATTCACGAAGCCCCTTCCCAAGGTTATGCAGTCAGCTATGATTGCTGGACAGATATTCTCAGACAGGCTGAGCTGTCTGAAAATTGTGCTGGGAACTTCGGAGATGCAGGTTTTGTGGGTTGTTGCTCTGCTGGGTGATGCAGCTGCCCTGAAGCCGTCCATGCTTCTATAATTCCTCACCCACCCTCCTATAAATAGCACGCACTAAACACGACTGGGAGGAACTGTTTCCTTGGTTGTTTGTGCCTTACCTAAGTGAATAGTGCTTGTTTTCATCTCCTGAGGAAAAAAAATCAGACAACACCTACCCTGCTTGGCTTTATTCAGTGCTTGCCTCCATGTATAGGAGGTGAGCACTGTACCAACATTACAGCCCCAACCAGCTTGGTGGTTTTTGCTGTTTTGCTTTTGAGACAGGGTCTCACTGTGTAGCCCAGGATGGCCAGGAATTTCTCTGTAGACCAGGTTAGCCCTGGACTCACAGCTCCTGCCTCTGTCCTGAGTTCTGGAAGGACAGGAGAGCATCACCACACCCAGCACATCCTGGGTATTTTAATGCCATTAGGAACAGGTCTGCCACGGCGTGGAAACTCTTGGCCAGTCAGTGAAATGGGAGGGACACAAGGAACAGAGACATAAATGGGCTTGGCCTAGATTCTGTATAGTTTCTTATCTCTGTCAGCATGGAAGTCACCTGCTGTGGGAACCGGTAGGGTGTGGAAACTGTGTTGGTTAATATCACAGCCTTAAGGAAACTGCAGAGCAATCCAGGAAGAGCCATTCAATGCCCTTCAACTGTTGGTACTGACTAGTTAAGACCACCAGGGGGCAGTGCAGCACAGTGGTTGCCAGCTCAGACTCTACTGTAATTCTTCGTCGGTGGGCTTGGTGGCCCAAGCCTGTAATCACAGTGGAGGCAGGAGGAGTTTCTAGGTTTGATCTTTATGGCCACGATTAAAAAACAAAACAACAAACGAGTAAAGACAACACAGGGGAGAAAGGGCTTTACTGTTCCAGGTTACTGTCCCATACTGCAGGGAAGTCACAGGGGCAGGACACGGTTTGCCACACGGAATCCACAGTCAAATTCAGAGAGAAATGAATGCACCCATGCTACCCGCTGCCTGCTCGCTTGCTCACACTCTGCCAGACCCTCCATGGTTATGCATCCGGAACCTCCTGCCCAGGACCTGGGGCTGTCCGTAAAGCTGGGTCAATTAGCAGTCCAGACAGCCACCCACAGATACTCCCACAAGTTGGACAGTCCCTCAGGCACACGCCTTCAATCCTAGCACTCTGGAGGCAGAGACAGGAGAATCCCTGTGAGTTTGAGGCCAGCCTGGTCTACAGAGTGAGTTCCAGGACAGGCTCCAAAGCAATAGAGAGAAACCCTGTCTCGAAAAACCAAAACCAAGCTGGGCGTTGGTGGCGCACGCCTTTAATCCCAGCACTCTGGAGGCAGAGGCAGGTGGATCTCTGTGAGTTGGAGGCCAGCCTGGTCTACAAAGTGAGTTCCAGGACAGCCTCCAAAGCCACAGAGAAACCCTGCCTCGAAAAACCAAGAAAAAAAAAAAAAGGAAAAAAAAGAAAAACCAAAACCAAAACAAAACAAAACAAAGCAAAGAGACCTCCCCTTCTCAGGGGACTTAGTTGTGTCAACTAACAGCCCCAACTGGCATGTGGGAGCAGGGACCATGAATTAGAGGTCAGCTTGAGCCACTAACAAGACCCAGCCTTCAAAATAAAAGCGAAGCCAGGCGTGGAGGTGCACACCTTCAATCCCAGCACCGGGGAGGTGAAGTCGGCAGATCTTAGTGAATTCAAGGCCAACCTGGTCTATAGAATGAGTTCCTGGACTGCCAGAACTACACAGTGAGACCCGGTCACAAACAAGTAAACCAAACCAAATAAAAACAACCCACCCCTCAAAACAAAACAAGTTAGCAAAGAAAAAAACAACAGCCCACTAACTGTGATCTTAAGGAGTTTTGGCTGGGGATAGAGATGGCTCAGTGGCTAAGAGCGAACTGTTCTTGAGAGGCCCCAAGCCCTGCTTCCCCCCCACCCCCCCCACCCCCCCCCGTGTCAGGCGGCTCACACAGCCTGCAACTCCAGCCCCAGGGGAGGCAAAACCCTCCTCTGAGGGTAATGTGCTCTCACTCATGTACACACACACACACACACACACACACACACACACACACACCTCGTCAAAAATTGCTCTTTTAAAAAGTTTTGGTTTCATCAGCTGTGAAGTGCAGATAACTAACATATAACTCTATTTGGGTTGCTTTGGGGGACCAGGCAAAACAGGGTGTTAGGGGCACATGGAGGCTTCATCTGCTCACAAAGAGGATGCTTCACGCAAAGCTAACAATAGAAGATGCAGGGTTCCCCTCCCCGCCTCTCTGTCTTCCAGCGTGGGGGCAAGCAGACTCCCCGCTTTCCTGCTTGTGTGAATTTGGTGCCCAACACTCTTGGCAGTGAGTCGTAATAGAGTAGAAGACCTCACTTTTTATTTCTATCGTGACGGTTCTTACATGTACACAATGCACTGTGATCCTATTCCCCCAGTGCCGCCGCCTCCTCCTCCTCCTCCTCCTCCTCCTCCTCCTCCTCCTCCCCCACTCCTGCTAACCCTCCTCATCCTCGACCCATCTGCTCCCCAGTCTACTTCATGTCTGCACATCTTGTGTGTGTGTCTGTGTGCTGTGTATATGTGCGTGCTTTGTGTTCTGTCTGTGTCTGTGTGCTGTGTCTCTGTGGTGTGTGCGTACACGTGCCTCTGTGCACGCCGCCATGGTATACAGTGTTCGGGCAAGAGGATAGCTTGTGGGATTTGGTTCTCTCCTTGACCATGCGGGCTGCAGGGATGACTTAGTTTGCCAGGCTTGTCCCAAGCAGCTTTACCCATGGGGAGCACTTGGGTGCTCCTCTGCGCACTCTTAAAACAACCCAGCAGACACTCACCGCTTAGCAACACAAGGTCAGAGCATAGACTTTGCTTGTTTCAAAGATGGTCTCCATCTGTAGGGATCCTGCCCCTTCTAGACTGCTGACGTCACACTCAGAACCACTGTGGCAGGCTGGTGTCCCGCAGGCACAGCCTTACCCCGCGTCTCTCCTGTGCAGTGCCCTTCCACTCCAGTTTCTTTCTCCGGTGTAATGGCGAAGAAAATACCACCCATGAGTTGGTTATAAAATCAAGGGGCTTCTAACACAGCAGAACGGGAGAAAACACAGTCCCTTACTTAGGGAACACGGTGTCCATCCTCACACAGGTCACCACTGACCAGAAACAATTGTGACTGGGTCCTCGCAGAACGTGGGGAGACAGAGAGTGATGCTGGGCGTGGAGCTCGGAGACACACAGGAGCTTTGTGTGCGTGGCCCGGCTGTCCAGCTGGCATCAGAAACCTAGTTGCTGTGCAAAGTCAGAGGCCCAAGAAGCAGGAAACCTTCAGGCAGAGCTCAGAACTGTAGACTCAGACCCAAAGCAAAGACTGAGGACAAGTGAGGAGAGACTCGGGCTTGTTTCTCCCCGGATTTTCACAGTCAACTCGATACCATTGTTTACCCCCAATAACTACAATGGTTGCTTATGAAACAAAATGCTCACTTTTCTTATTTATACAAGAAAACATGCGTGTAAAAGGTTGTCTGTCTTTTTATCTGGTTGCATGGGATGCAACCAGGGTGGCACAGTGGTAGACTCCCCTTCAAAGCATAAGACAATTTCAAAAATTTAAATTACAAGCCCGGTGTGGTGGTGCACGCCTTTAATCCCAGCACTCAGGAGGCAGAGTCAGGCAAATCTCTGTGAGTTCCAGGCTAGCCTGGTCTACATAGGCAAGTTCCAAGGCAGCCAACAATAAATAAATGCAAAAATAGCAACAAAAAACCCCCAAACCCACTAGTATATTATTTATTTATTATGTGTGTATGTGGGAAGTACCTGTGTCTCTGATCTCCACACATGTGGTAACTTCACCTTGACCTAGTTAGATTTGTCACCTTCACACAGTCTAGAGTCATCCGAGGAGGGAGTCTCAGTTGAGGAGCTGCCTGGATCAGATCGGCCTGTGGGACATTTCCTCGATCGTTGGTGGCATAGGGGGTTCCAGCCCACAGTGGGCGGTGCCATTCCCTAGGTAGGTGGTCGTAGGCGGAATAAGCAAGTTAGCTGAGCATGAGCCTGAGTGGAAGCCAGCAGCTTTCTTCCTCGGTCTCTGCTTCAAACAAACAAACAAACAAACAAGCAAATAAACATACCCCCTGTGCTGGTTTGAATGTAACTTGCCCCACAAACTAATAGGGAGGGGCACTATTGGGAGGTGTGGCCTTGTTGGAGGAAGTGTGTCACTGAGGGTGTGGGCCTTGATGTCTCTTTTGCTTAAGCCCCTTTCAGGAATGAGATATCCATACATCTGCCCCTCCAGCTGGGATTGGACAGGCGGTGTTTCTATGTACAAACAAGAGCCATCTCGTCTCTGTGTTTGCACTGAAACTGGAACCAAACACCACTTGTAAAGTGGAGCCTCCCAGGGTGAGGAACGGCCTGAGAGTCAGAGTTTCACACAATGGGGAGTGACTTGGAGCAGGGCACAGCCCGCTCTGCCCACAGACCACAGACCCACCAACACGCCCCATGCCACAGTAAGCATGCTGCCAGCACACCACAGCTACCCACACAGTCCACGACACATCCCAGTGAGAGTCACACTCACAAATTCTTGTTTTCACACTCTTACACACAGACACAGACAGACACACTCACACAGATACACAGACACACACACACATACACAGACACATACACATATACAGACACACACAGACACACAGAATCACACATATACAGACACACACAGAGACACACACACACAGACACACACACAGACACACACAGATAGACACACACGCACAGGCAGACAGACAGACACACACACACACACACACACACACGCACCTGTCTTTGTACACTCAGCATGTTCCCCAGAGCTTGACAAGGCTCAATCAAGCTGCCATCTTCCTGTCCGTCATCTGAACATCACTCTGTCCATCCATCCTTCCACTGACCCTCACATCCATGGTCAGGGTCCCAAGCCTCAGCTGTCCTGCCCCGTAGCTCACCTTTTCAGGTCTCTGCAAGTTCTTCACCTGAACTGTTGCTGTGTATCTAACCACCTTGTCCTAGTAGGCTTTATTTGGCAATTTGACAGACCCTAGAGTCAGAAGGAAGTCTCGATCGAGGAACCACCGAGCTCAGACTGGCCTGTGGGCATGTCCGTGGGCGTGTCCTTGATTGTTAGTGATGTGGGAGGGCCTAGCCACTGTAGGCAGCGCCATTCCCTAATAGGTGGACCTGGGCTCTGTAAGACAACTAGCCGAGCATGAAGCCGGGAACAAGCAACGTTCTTTTATGGTCTCTGCTTCAAGTTCTCGATTGAGTTTCTGCCCTGACTTCCCTCATGATGCACTGCGACCCGGATGTTTAAACTAGAATAATACCACCCCCCCACTACTAAGTCTCTTTTGGTCAGAGGTTCTACTAGCAGTAAAGGAAACCAGAATACCTCTGTAGCAATTCTGCCTGTGTCAGCTTTGCCTGGAGTGGAGTCTCTTTGACTCTAAACTCTTTCAGATCCATTCTACAACCTGTGTAGTGTAGCTATAGATGATATAGGTATAGGTATAGATATAGATATGGTTTACAGTGTGATGGGTAATGTTTGATCCGAGAGTTAATATTGCCCATTAAATCTGGCATGCAAAACCCTGTGTTTGCCAGTGACGGGCCATCAAGAGAAGTCAGGATTACCCAGCAAATCTCGGCCAACAACACCAGTGTAGCTTGGGAACGTCTGGTTAATACGTTTTGACACCGTGGAAAGACGTAGGCGTATCCCTCCGTGTCTCCAGCATGCTGGGCTCATGGCTGTTCTGCAGGATGAGCATCTGTGTGGTGTGCAGGGACGTGGCACGTGCGACCTGTCGTGGATAGAGCGGTGGGGTAAGAGCCTTGGCGAAGGGGAGGCTTTGTGCGGGTGCTGGCTGTGGCAGTGGATGCTGGAGTGAGCGAGGTCTGCGGAGTGCTTGCGTGCGTGCCCGATGTGGCTCTAGCTTTTGTTCAGATTTTTCTTTTGCTCTTTGTTGGCCTTTGTCCCTGTCTTCGCTTGGCTTTTGTTTTCTCTTTGTTTCACTCTTTGTTTCAACTTTCTTTAGCTTTTGTCTGGTGTTTCTTTAGCCTTTTGTTGGAAGTCTGTGTGGCCTTTGTGCGGCCCTGTGTAGCTTTTGTTGTAAAGTACATCGTGCCTGAGGACCCATCAAAAACACCTTCTGTAATGAGACCCCAGACCTTTAGCCTCTCCCTATATATTCTGCACGTCCTGCAGTAGCCCGGCTCCACAAGGGCCCGGTACCCACGGGATTCTGTTTCACACGGCACCCGTTACCTGCAGGTAAGAGGATTCCAGAGGCTCCCTGGGCAAGGGCACACATTCCTAAGGGTCCAAGGGCCGCAGGGGAAGCCTGCTGTGATGGCAGTTGGGGATGGGAGGACACAAAAGAATGCAGGTAGCCCAAGAGATAAAGAACAAGGGGCCTCAGAATGGTCCTTGCTAGCATCGGGGTTTGCCTGCCCCGGGAAAGATGCTTGGACTCTCTTGGGTTTGACACCTTTGCTGTTGGAGAGAGTGATCAGCGGTGCTGTTGGTGTCTCCCCCAAGGCTGCATTTCTTCTCTTATTTATTATCCTGATTTAAAAATGAGTTTATTGGGATCTCACCCCTCCCTGATGACTTATGTATAGTTAATGGTTAACGGGGAAGAGAGACATTGTCCCTAGTCATGTAACCATGCTCCTGGTAACAGACCCTTGTGCATGCTCCTGTAAGGACCCTAAAGAAACTCATTGGGTTTTACCCCTCCCCCTAGGGAGGAGGCTAGTTGGGAAGAGGGGGGGATCTTCAGGAGTGGAAGGAAACAGGGGAAGGTGATAAGGGTGGATATGATTGAAATAATTATGTACATGTGTAAAAATGTTGCAACCAAGTCCATTATTATGTACAACGAGTGTATGCCAAGGAAAACATTTAAAAAGGAGTAGAGGAGTTAAAGCTAAAAAAGAAATACAAGGGGCTTTTCCTTCTCCCCTTAAACACACAGCTGGGTTTGTAAGTGTGCGTGCAGCAGTGAAGCCCAAATCCGCACCCTAACTGGAGCCATGCTGATGCTTTGTCTCAAACAAATCTCTCAGAAAGCACGGAGTCTCCAGTCTTTGGCTGAGGGAAATGGAAAAGATTTGCACCAGGGGAAGAAAGCCATGAGCTTGGCTATAGTGTTAGGAAGAAAATGGAGACAAGGTTTTGAATGCTGAGAGAACAGAACAGGCAGCCAGGATCTGCTGTTTGGGGAGTATTTAAGATGCAGGGGATTGCTGGTGAGAGGATCTCAAAAGTGCTTCAACTCTATGGAAAAGTTGCAAACAGCATGAAGAGTTCCAGCTGTGCACGTTTGCCTGATTACTCTTTCTGTATGTGCAAACACCTGCACCTTACCCCCCCCACTGAGATTAAGTGCGCACATTATTAATGTCGGGAAACTAACAGGGAGCACGCTAATCTCGTGCATAATCTAGAGGCCCCCAAACTCACCAGTGCTCTAAGCAGCCAGTGCAGGCTCACAGCCAGTGCAGGCTCACAGCCAGTGCAGGCTCACGCATTGCTTTGGCTGTCTTGTCTCTTCGGATTCCTTTAACCTGCAAACGCGCACAGGACAGCCATTCTCTGGCAGCCATGGCTGTTGTTGATGGTGTGTGTGTGTGTGTGTGTGTGTGTGTGTGTGTGAAATGTATGCCTTCCCTTCGTACACTTGTGTGTGAGTGTGCAGAGGTGAGAAGTCAATGTCACATGATCTCACCTGTCCCACGACACCTTAGTTTTTGAGACTGGGTCCCTCACTGAGCCTGGAGCTTGTTATTAGACCTAGACTCTATTGCTGGAAGCTCCAGGGATCTGCCTCTCTCCACTCCAGACGCCAGACGGTACAGTGCCCATGACGGGCTGTCATGTGTGAAACAGGGGTCTGAACTCCTGCACAGCGAGCATGTTACCCACTGAGTCATCCCCCCCAGTTAAGACGCTGGCAGCTGTGAAGGTGTTATCAAATGTCCTTCAGTGCATGGTCTGAATGACGCTGAGAGGAAGCAGCTTTGTTTGTTTGTTTGTTTTTCAAGACAGGGTTTCTCTGTATCGTTTTGGAGTCTGCCTGGAACTCGCTCTGTAGACCAGGCTGGCCTCGAACTCAGAGATCCACCTGCCTCTGTCTTCCGAGTGCTGGGATTAAAGGTGTGCACCACCAAGGCCCAGTGAGGAAGCAGCTTTTGACAGGTTTATATTGGCTAATGCTAGACCCGGCTCCTGACCAGGCTCCTGGCCAAGACACTTTCTCCCATGGTTCCAGAACTTCCACCCAGCATAGACCTCACCCTTACTGGGAAAATGTAGCATTAGGTACCGTGACTGTTGTATCTCAAGAGTCACCTGTAGTTTGATGGGTTTGTGTTAAAGCATTGTGGGGCTGGGAATGGTGAGCAGTGCTGTCTAGCATGCACAGAGCCCCAGATTTAGTCAAATACTAGATAAGCTATACAGGCATGTTCTCATATACCTATGACCTCTAGGCACGGTCCCAGAACTCAGGAAGATCAGAAGTTCAAGGCTATCCTCACCTACGTAGAAGACCAGTCTGGGTTAAAGATCCTACTTCAAGACAGACAGACAGCTTATATTTTCTTATGGCAAATCATTCATGGGTAGAAATGAAGGTGTTAAACCCCTCCTTTTTCTCAGTTAAAACAGTTGAGGATCAGGGTATAGAGGGCTTAGGAGGCAGAGGTCTGGGGACGGCACTTGCTTCGAATGATCTAGAATTCTGCTGGACTGGGTGGGGTCTCAGTTGACTGTATTTATGGGATCTGATTATGTAAATCTTTAATCCAAGCTCTGTTGAAGAGTGACTAGGATTTTAAGGGAGCACCCAGTGTCTCTATAACTGGAAATTACAAGAAACTCACAAACGTCTGTAGCTGAGGTGCACTTTGAAGTAATTGAACACCATGGCTGTCTGTCCTGGAGCTTAGCAGGCTCCTGATCAAGCATCTCCATGTGTCCCCAAACCACTCCCAGCACAGACTTCTTCCTTGGTGGGAATTACAACTTCAAGATGTTTCTAAGGCAAGTTAGGCCTTCCTAATCTCAAAACCTGTGAGGCAGGAAACGCACACATTTCCCAGGTGGCCACACCACCCTGTGATCACACCTGGTCACACCGCCCTGTGCTCACACCTGGTCACACCGCCCTGTGCTCACACCTGGTCACACCGCCCTGTGATCACACCTGGTCACACCACCCTGTGATCCCACCTGGCCTCACCACCCTGTGATCACACCTGGTCACACCACCCTGTGCGCAAACCTGGTAACACCACCCTGTGATCCCACCTGCTTTTCACTGACTGGTCTCTCGAACTGGCCTGTGAGGGCAGAAGGTCAAACGCAGCTTGTTTGAACAGCCAGGGTCCAGCTCTGGTAACAGCTTTAGGTATCCTGATTGTTGTGTTAAGGCCACAGAGGTTACCATGTGGTAAACACTTTCATTTTGTTATTTGATGTCATGTGTTTGGGTGCTTTGCCTGCATGTATGTGTGCATACCATTGCATGCCTGGCGCCCATGGAGATCAGGAGAGGGTCTGGGGTCCCTGCATCGGGAGTTAAGGGTAACTGCGAATGGCAGTGTGGTTGCTGGAACCAAGCCCACACCTCTGCTAGAGCAGACAATGCTCTTAGCTGTTGAGCTATTTCTATAACCGTCGATAAAGTGTTTTATAATTAATCATACATCTCCACGATGAGCCACCCTGGAGTGGAAAATGGAGACACAGAATCCCGTTTTTCTCAGTCAAAACAATTGTAGACCAGGATCGGTAAAGTCTAAGGCCAGGAGAGTCTGTGGTCGAGAGTTGCCTGCTTCTTACAACCTAGAAGTCGGCTGGGCCAGGTCTGCTGGCTTAGCCCTCATCAGCTGTGACCCCCATCTGCAGCTTACTGGCTCCTGCTGTCCCTGTGACCCTTAAAGCATCCGATAATAATAGTAATTCCATAGCATCTGCGCACAGAGTGACCAAGGACCCAGCCTGCTTAAAAACGAACCTGGATTTTGTTACTGTTCTGATGGGAGGAAGCCAAGGGATACAGGCAGACTTTTTACTCAGAGTTCCCAGGAGCAGGGAATCATGGGACAGCACCTCAGGGCCCCAAGGGAGGCACTAGCCTCCTGAGGGACAAATGAAAACCAGGTGTCAGAGCCTCTACTGATTATTATTTATTATTATTACTATTATTATTATTGTTGTTATTATCATCCTACATTTTGAATCTTCCCGGGGGCCCAAGTTCACTGAAAAACAGACTATGTCACTTGCCCTTATAATCTACTTTTCTTCATGGTGATGTAATCTTTGCATGAAGGCAACTACAGTCTCACAGGTGAATAGCCCATTAAATCACAGACCTTGAGTAAGTTGGGAACTCCACAGGCGCCGTGCCTTCCCAGTGGGGAGGATACGGAGAGGTGCTTTCTCTTTATGCCTCAGTTTACCCCTCACTACATGGAGCTTTTCACTGACATCCACGTTCCCAGCAGCCACACCTGGAATAGTCTTGGACTCACCAACACTACCAATTAACTGATGTTAACCAGTCATCCCTGTGTGGTTAACAAGAGGAAGTTGAAATTCTGGGACTGAGGGATGCGTGTGGCCACACACAAAATAAAAAAATGTGAACAAATGATTTAAAGAATTCCGAATCAACTGGAAGTCTACGTTCAAGCATTCTTCCTGTTTTTGTTTTTGTTTTTTTAAAGCTTGTGTCACATTTTGTTTTCCCATTCACTCATTCCCCCACTCGATTAGCAAATATTTGCTGGGAGTCCCTGTGGCCAGCACTGAGCTGGAACTTGGAGACCAGAGTGTGTGCAGAGCTCAGACTTGACTTTAGTAATTACAGTAAACAACCCGCACCTGAACAATAATAAAAGGCCCCCGGTGAGGTGTAAAAAGGAAATTCCCAAACAGCCCCCAGGGAGTTCTTCCCTGATAAAGAGGCCGCAGGTCAAACTCAGGCCCTCACGCGCAGGATTTTGTTACTGCCTTCCCAACTGTCTGCCCAGCCCGGACTGAAGGACTTGTTACTTAAATTAACGGTGGGTGTCATTTTTCCCATAGTGACAAGGTGGTATACAGATTAGCATGGAATTTTACTCCTGCATCCTTCCTCTGTGCCCAGACTTTCAGACAGTGTCTAGATGTGTCACAGTCCCTCTTAGGCCTGGGAGCCGGAGCCTCCATGTGAAACGCACTTGACCGGATTGCAGCCAAGTACAGCACACGAACTAACCAGTGTGTGCTACCACCTCATTCCTAGGGACAGCGAGGAGCCAAATGACAGTAAAGACAAGTTGGGAACAGAGTCCCAGTCGCCAGATGCGTGCGGATGAACATACAGGTACGGGTCTGCATCTAAATTGTTGCACAAATGATTGCAGGTATTCAGAATGTCGCAGAAGAATGTAAAATCAGCAAGAGACTAAGTAAAGGCGCCTTCTATAAGGTGCACTCTCCCTTACTCCTTCCCTCTCTTACTCCCTCCCTCTCTTCCTCCCTTCCTCCTTTCCTCCTTCCCTCCCTCCCTCCCTCCTTCCCTCTCCTCCTTCTTCCCTTCCTTTCTTTTGAGATAGGATCTCACTATGAAGCCCTTATTAGCCTGGAACTCTCTATGTAGACCAGGCTGGCCTCAAACTCACAGAGATCCACCTGCCTCTGTCTTCTGGGTGCTGGGATTAAAGGTATGAGCTATCATGGCCAACAGCTCAAACACTTTTTATAGCGTGTCAATTCTCTCCTGGAGAACCTAAATATGAAAACAAATTCTCTGTGTTAGAGGGAGCATGACCCAAGCCGCCATTTGTCCACTCACACCCCTCTGTACCACAGCTGTTCTCCCTCAGATCCTCCAGCCTCACTCAGGGGCTTCATCTGTGTCTTTGTCTGAGCTGGGTCTTCCCAGACTTGCTAGAAGAAAGCTTCCCGAGTCTCTGCAGTGGAGATGTTTTGTCCTCCACGTCCCTCCAGCTTTGAGAGCGAGGTCTGCATCGCCCTTTCCTTCGATCTAGTTAAAGCAGCATCCAAGCTCGTTCTCTGTTCCCAGTGGGGGTCTGCACACTCGTCCTTCTCCACTGATGGTTTCTTAAACAGGATTTCCCTCTCTCTTTCTGCTCCAACTCCATCCAAGGATTCAACACTGCAGCGTTTCATCCACCCTGTCTCATCCGTCCATTGCCACGCTGTGGACCTTGTCAGTGTTCTACCACATAAACCAGCTGTGCAAGCAGCCATCTCGTGCACAGACAGAGAGAGTGCGTGTATGTGTGCACACGTAGTGCCCTCAGAGGCCCTTAGAGGGCACTGGATCTGCTGAGGTGAAGTTACAGTAGGTTCTGAACCTCCTGTGTGGCTGCTGGGAACTGAACTCTGGAGTGCTCTTTGATCCCAGAGTTACTGCTTAACCCTCGGTCGCCCTTCTCTAGTGAAGGCTGTACCGACAGCCTCCCCCTTCCTATGAGCTCTACATTCACCATCATTTCTGTGCCCTTTAGAGTAAGCCACTCTTGGGATTACCCGAGACGCTTGACCAGCTTTGAAGGCCTCCTTCCCTCTGCCTCCGTGATGGCACAGCTATGATATCCCTGCCCCCAACGCCTTTTCTGCTCGCTAATTCCCCTCCCCTGAAAACCCTGAGCGCCCTGAGGCTCAGGCAGAGCCTGTGTTAGCTGTTTTTATTTCTCACTGCTGTGACAACATGCTTGACAAAAGCAACGTAAGGAAAATGGTTTATTCTGGCTCATGGTTTGAGTGTGCAGTCCATGACGTCAGGGGCGTGGCCGCAGGAGTGTGACGGCAGGTCACATCGCAATGGCCCTGGGAAGCAGACAGAGATGACTGCTGGTGCTCAGCTCGCTTGCTTTTTATTAACTTTGAGCTGCCAGTCCAGGGACTGATGCTACCCACACTCGGGTGGATCTCCTCTCCTTAGTTAAACTGCACTGGGAATGTCCTGCTAGACAAGCCTTGAGTGGCCACCTAGGCAATTCCCAATCAAGAGTGACCATCATGCAGTCTTTTCTCTTTCCACATTTAGCCACCCACGTGGCTTTGGTTAACACCTTCGTACACTTCATCTCAGCCATATGTCTCTGGACTGCCTAAGAGACACATCCACCTGGAGCCTTCGGACTCCACAGCTGGCGTTTTCAACTCAGCCATGAACCCAGGATGATATGATTGTCTGTTAACTTTAAATGGAGATTCTAGTGTCCAGGGGCTGGAGAGTCAGCTCAGCAGTTAATAGCACTGACTGCTCTTGCAGAGAACTTGGATTTGGGTCTCAGTACCCATATGGCAGCTCACAACCACTTGTAATTCCAGTTCTAGGGGATCTGACACCCTCTTCTGTCCTCCATAGGTACTACACACACACACACACACACACACACACACACACACACACACACACACACACACACACATTCATGTCCATAGATGATAACACATTGTATAACTTTAGCGTTAAAATGGTGTATTATTCATGTAGCATTTATATTACCATACCTCTTGTATGTTTATCTTGCTCCATTATAGTAACTAGTGTCACACACACACATTCATGTCCATAGGTGATAACACATTGTATAATTTTAGCGTTAAAATGGTGTATTATTCATGTAACATTTAGATTACCATACCTCTGGTATGTTTATCTTGCTCCATTATAGTAACTAGTGTTCACGCCTAAAAGTTTGCCTCATGTAATATCTATGTGCTTGAGATGCCTATCTTGGGTTACATGTGTTCCTCCTCTTAGAGTTGCTATGGGCAGAGAGACTTTGTACATCAAGAAGTACTCTTGCGTAGCCTGCGAGATAGTTGTCTGTGAGATAGCATGTTGTGAGTTGTCTTTGTTGCCTAAAACAAAGCAATACAACAAAACATTTAACATAGCCTTGTTTGTGTTCCCAACGGGCGGGCGACTGCCTCCAGGATAACTGGAACCCTTTTATTCTGTCGCATTTTGCCTAGCCTCCAAATCCCTGTTGGACTTTGGCGTCTTGTGGCTGTCTGCAGAACGGCTCCTAATTTAAAATAAATGTTAGAACGGCATTGTCTATTACCTGGTGCTGTCACCAATGATCAACTGCTCAGTTTTCACTGTATTAATGTGTAATACACACGCCATCAAGGGGACACATGGGGAAAAAACCCTGGAGGGCATGAATTAATAGTCATCGGCCAGCGTTGGCATCCTACTCTGCTCTATTTTGGCTGCTGTAGATTGGTCAGCACAGAAGTGTCTCTGTTTACAGTGTAAATCTACACTCAGGGGGAAGCATTAACCTCTGGCCCAAGAGGAGATTAGCGAGCCCTAGGAGCTGCTAATGTTCTCTAAGGGAGAGGTAGATTTGTTCTGCCCTGTGATCATTGCTTTCACAGCGGGGACACTGGATGGATACTGGCATGTGACACATTCCTTCCTTGTAAGGGGACAGGGGCTCTTTGACAACCCAGGGCTCATTGGTCCAAGTGTCAGCAGCAGTCAGTGCACTGCCCATGTCCCTCCCCAGCAGGTCTCCTTGGCTGCCCTCTCCCCGGGGTCCTTTGCTGAGTCACTTTTCCCTTTACTGCGGGCCCCTCGGGATGGGTGTGAGCTGACATCTCCCTGCTGTTACTTCTTTTTCTCTGAGTACTACAGAGTCAAGCATATCTCTAGATTACTACCAGCAGGGCCAGGGAGATGAGTTAGCGAGTGAAGGCGCTTGCCGCCAAGCCTGGCAGCCTGAGTATGTTCCCTGGAACACATGTAAGCCAGAGGTAGAGAACCAACGCTGGTAAATTGTCCTCTGACCTCCGCATGCACACTGATGTGTGCACCTGTGACCTCCATACACACTGATGTGTGCACCTGTGACCTCCATACACACTGATGTGTGCACCTGTGACCTCCATACACACTGACGTGTGCACCTGTGACCTCCATACACACTGACATGTACACTTGTGACCTCCATACACACTGACGTGTGCCCCTGTGACCTCCACATACACACTGACGTGTGCACCTGTGACCTCCATACACACTGACGTGTGCATCTGTGACCTCCATACACACTGATGTGTACACCTGTGACCTCCATACACACTGATGTGTACACCTGTGACCTCCATACACACTGACGTGTGCATCTGTGACCTCCATACACACTGATGTGTGCACCTGTGACCTCCATACACACTGATGTGTACACCTGTGACCTCCACATACACACTGACATGTACACTTGTGACCTCCATACACACTGATGTGTGCACCTGTGACCTCCATACACACTGACATGTACACTTGTGACCTCCATACACACTGACGTGTGCATCTGTGACCTCCATACACACTGACGTGTGCATCTGTGACCTCCATACACACTGACGTGTGCACCTGTGACCTCCATACACACTGATGTGTACACCTGTGACCTTGTAGCTTTAATTCACTACATAACTGAAGGTGATGGGTTCATATCTCAGTGAATGCAATGCCATAATAAGCACAACCGAGCCATGAAAGAAAGAAGGAAGATTTCTTAGCAGCCACAGGCAAGGAGAGCTCTGGACTCACGTCCAAAGCCGTGTTGTCCTTAAACAAAGGAAGCATGAGGATTTTATTCAGGGGGTCTACAGATCTACATGGGAGGGCCCCATTGCTGAGCACCTCAGTTAAGGAACAGTCATGAGCATCGTGGGTTAAGGAGTTCACTCCTGAGCATGCTCAATTGAGGAACACAGTCATGGGCACTGCGGGTTAAGGAGTTCACTCCTGAGCACGCTCATTTAGGCAGATTTGGGTTAGGGCACGGAGCACATGTTTAAAAGATTGGGGGATGGACAGGAGTACCTCTGGGCACCATCTGCTTGCACCAAAATGTTTTAGCTGAAAATAAGCGAAGGTTGCTTTGAAAGTGCGTTGATGGGGGAGTCACTGACGAGGGTCCCTGCCTCCCTGAGTGGGTGACAACACGATACAGGGATTTTTTTGTTGTTGTTCCATGGAGCAATCTTTATCTTCTCCCATCTTTTCTCCTCACACTCTTTTTGTTCTCTGTGTTAGAATGAATATTGTGCCAGTTAAGAATCTATTCCAGTCTATGTCGGTTGGGGTCCTGGCACCCTTTCCCTAACTCTCTGCCCTCAGGTGACCTCTCTGTAGCTCCCGTTTGCAAAGGAGGGTGATTGTGATATCACGAGGCCAAACAAAGCACACAAAGCACCACAGTGCCTGCTTGTACTGCACACCATGGGTTTGCTGTCACGAGCCAAACCAGGGTCTTTGTTTGAGACAATTGGTCGCATCACACTCGGAGCCAAGAGCACAGAGCAATGAATTAATTGATGCCTGCT